AGTTGCTATGTGGAAGAATAGATATCTGCACTTCCCTGTTTAGTGCAGCATTATCTGCAATAACGAAAACATGGTACAACCTGTGTCCATTGACATATGACTAGGTAAAGAAAAGGTTATTTATGTATGTCCTGCCATTTGCAACAACATGGCTGGACCTTGGGGGCATTATGTGAAGTAAACTGAGTCATACAGAGAAGGACAAAGAGTGTTGACCTCACAGATAGGAATCTGAAAACCAAACTCCTCCAAAAAGAAATCATATTTGTAGTTGCCAGAGCCGGGGTTAGGGAGCCGGGGAAATTGAATGAAGTTGGTCAACAGTTATAAATTAAGCAGGTACTGGAATGTAATGTACCGCATGATGACTATAATTAGTAATAGTGTATTGTATATTGGCAAGTTGCTAAGAGAATAGATTTTAAATACTCTGATCACAGGGAAGAAAAATGTTTTTGGTAAGTATGTGAGGTGAGGAATGTTACTTAAATTTATTGTGGTAGTTATTTCACAATATACACATTATTAAATCATTAGGCTGTATATCTTAAATTTATACAATGATATATGGGAATTATGCCTCAAGGAGTCACCGATGCTGTGGGTCCTCAGAATACACTTTGAGGAGTGAAGCCTTGTAGAAGCAAGGTATAGACAAGTGGTTCTCAACTCTGGCTACTCCTGGGATATACACATTAGCATCACCTAGGGTGAGTTTAAAACAAACAGCAAACGGTAATGCCCAGGTCCCATTCCCAGAAGAGTTAAGCCAGAACCTGTAAGGGTGGCAGCTAAGCATCACTCTATAAAGGCTCCTTGGGTGAATCTATTCAAAATGTAGGGAGGAACCGTCACATTAGAATAAACCCAAAATACAGCTTTCTTGTGTCCAAGGAAAACTAGCTTCCCCAAAATATGGACACACTAGTCTTTCTGGTGCCCCCCTGAAACTGTATGACAGCTTCTCAGGGAGGCCTGGGCCAACACCTCATGTGAGGAATTACTGGGCTCGAGACTTAACACATCATTCCATCTAAGGTTGTGCTCAGCTCTGCTGTCTCGGGCTTATTAAGAACTCCTCAGCCTTTACTTCCACAGGTGGGAATTACTGCCAGTACAGCCTGCACAAGGCCTCAGTGTGCCTTCCATCCAATACTCCCTCCCACTTACAAACCTATAGCCAACCATATGGTACATCTTATCTAAGAGGGACCCACAGCTGACAAAACATTTTCTATCTACTTGGAGAGCATGGCCTCGAATACCAGATTCAAGATGTGTCCAAAAGAAACAGACTACAAAGACTTAATCACATTTTGAAGGACATGAGAATTCTCAATGGTGATGTATGTGTCAGATGATGTTGGGAAGTCTTGTGAGATAGAGAACAATGATGAGGGATCCGGCGGCAATAATTTCTTGGGATGTCAGGTGAACTGATAGCCCCATCAGGGGTCTGTGCCTTGGTGGAAGGACAGTGTTCCTGCCCCCGCCCCACTTCCTCCCTCTCTTCCTCCCAGGCCTTAAGAGGAGAGGCTTCATCCTGGCCAAGGAAGCATTTGGACACCCTCGACCAGTGGTTCTCAACCTTGGCTGCACATTAGAATCACCTGGGAATCTTTTTAAAATCCTGATTTCTGGGTCTCATCCTCCGGAAATTCTGTTTCTTTGTCATGGGGTGGGGCCACAACATTAGTAACAAAGAAACAGAATTTCCGGAGGATGAGGCCCAGAAATCAGGATTTTAAAAAGATTCCCAAGTCGCCGAAACCGGTTTGGCTCAGTGGATAGAGCGTCGGCCTGCGGACTGAGGGGTCCTGGGTTCGATTCCGGTCAAGGGCATGTGCCTGGGTTGCGGGCGCATCCCCGGTGGGGGATGTGCGGGAGGCAGCTGGTCGATGTTTCTCTCTCATCGATGTTTCTGACTCTCTATCTCTCTCCCTTCCTCTCTGTAAAAAATCAATAAAATATAAAAAAAAAAAAAAAAAAAAAAAAAGAATCCCAAGTGATTCTAATGTGCAGCCAAGGTTGAAAACCACTGCTCTAGACCAGGGGTCGGCAAACTGCGGCTCGCTAGCCACATGCGGCTATTTGGCCCCTTGAGTGTGGCTCTTCCTAAACCTTAGGACAGTGATGGCGAACCTTTTGAGCTCGGCATGTCAGCATTTTGAAAAACCCTAACTTAACTCTGGTGCCGTGTCACATATAGAAATTTTTTGATATTTGCAACCATAGTAAAACAAAGACTTATATTTTTGATATTTATTTTATATATTTAAATGCCATTTAACAAAGAAAAATCAACCAAAAAAATGAGTTCGCATGTCACCTCTGACACCCGTGTCATAGGTTCACCATCACTGCCTTAGGAGAACCCTAATTAAGTTAATAACAATGTACCTACCTATATAGTTTAAGTTTAAAAAATTTGGCTCTCAAAAGAAATTTCAGTCATCGTGCTGTTGATATTTGGCTCTGTTGACTAATGAGTTTGCCGACCACTGCTAGACTATGCAATACTCCTTTCAGTCTTGACTGTGTTCAGTGCAGGACGACAAGCCGCCTCCAAACTACTGGATCCTGTTTACCTCCCCTGCCACAGCCATGGTTCAGAAAAAGGACTGAAGGAACGATTTTGTGAGTTACAATGGACCTGTGGGTTTTCTGGAATAAGACTCTTTTTATTTAGTTGCTCACTTCTGAGAACACCTTTCCTTTGACAAAAGAAGAAATGGGGAATGGTTAGGTAATATTCATCAATCTCTCTTATCTACTCAGTACTTTAATGTATGCCACACAGTCTTATGCCCTACATAGCTACCACAACCACAGGAAAAAAACATTCTAGTGAACTTGTAATTTACGTGTAAGGCTAGCACTGTGATTATCAGCAAATGCATCCTGGGTAGTTCGACCCTCCTGCAATGCAGAGTGCAAGAGGTGCCTCTGTAAACAATGGCTGCTAGATTCTGGTTATGAATTGGATCCCAGTTAACCGCAAGGAGTCCTTTGGGGCAGGTATAGTTTTCTCATGGTCAACAGTTTTACACATCACCTCCACACCGAGTGACTTATATGCTCAGCTAAGAATCAAAACATTGTGGTGTTCAGGGAGGAACAGGAATTTCCATGATTTATTGAACCCAGTACATCTCAGATGCAGAATTGTGTAAATATATATGGAGTTTTGTAATTCCAGAAGGAACTTTTGAGTTTTGTACTGAGAGCTGCCGTTTCCTCACCAACCTCTCATTCCTTACCCTATGTGATAGAGGTTCTATCTGCATCATTCTATGAACAAAATAGATGTGAATACAGAAACTGGATTATTACAATTTTATTTATTACCTAATTCCAGATGTAACTTGTGTTTATAGAGAATACGAAAAAGCACAGAGAAAATGAAATATGCACAATCCTTTCAACTAAGTTAATTTGGTATATTTCCAACTAATCTCTTTTATGTGTACCAATACACACTCTGTTTCATAAAGGAAATGCTGATTTGGTCACATGCTGATCTGGAGTCTGCAAACCTGTCAGTTACATTGATATTTTTACACTGCATGCTGCATAGGATTCCCATAAATTCCTTACTACTGTTACCAGACAATTAGCATTTTATATGTTGCCAAAATTTTACATCTTTGCTCACAGCTCTGATGATATCCTTGAAATAAACTCTAAACAGAAGTGGTGGTGTAAAAGTCATGTCCATTGTAAAACTTTTAACATACAACAAAGTTATATTAAAAACTAAACATTTGAGGATGCTGCTGGTCCCAATGCGTTTACTCACCATTGCTGACATTTTGATTCTTTGCCAATTAAAGAACAAAATGAAAGCTCCTTTCATATGCTCTTTAATATCCCTCCTTACTCTTTTGAAAAACCAGTCTTACAGATTTACTCCCGACTCAAGAAGTAAATCGTGCTCATTCTTAATGTTCCAGAATTGAGATGGTTTCACCACAAAAGTTCTCCCTCTTATCAATTCCTACTCATCCCACCAATCATGGCATTAATCACACTCAGGAATTTGACACTTGATACACCCTGTCCTTACCCTTTTCCAAACGTGTATTTTGTCTCCAATAAAACATTTAGTTCCGAAATGGCAAGGGTCCTATAGGTTGAGACCCAATACCCTTAAGGCACGGTATTTAATAACGTACCTTCCCAGGGGCCTCTCAAGGGACTAGGGGCAGAGGCATTTATATTGGGGTTGGGGGTGCAGTGGACAAACTATCTTAGTGATTATGAAATCTACCAGGCCTCGAGAGGATTCAGTGGCAGACATTCAACCACGGAAATCTCAAATATTGTCCCTAATTATGCCTGATTAGTGCCAAATTTGAGCAAAGGCCCTGGCTCTGTGATCTGTGGAAGTGGGGTGTCCACCAGTGGAAGAGGGGAATCCCTTTCCCACTGGGGGCTCAGGGTCGGCTCCTTACAATATCTCGAGAAAAAGAATTTTCTGAGACTAGATCTGGAGGCCTCAGGACAAAAGTGGAATCTTATGGGTGCTGGCACCTACTCAACCTGCTGTCTAGGCTCTGGGCTTTTATTTTCAGGTTCATGCGCTTTAGTCTTGGATCCTGGCGTCCTGGAAAGAAGCAAGGACGGCTGGGCCAGCTCTCCTTTCCTTTCCATCCTTCTTGAGTGGGGTGCTAACAGCCTGGTTAAGGACCAGGCACTGACCCCCCCATTTCTAGGAAACCTTGGCCTTGCTTCCAGCAGCGGGAGCCTGAGCTGCCAGTGGACCCAGTTGGATGAGACCTTGGCCAGGCCACGCCCTGTACCCTCCTCGGGTAACACACAGCCCTGGGCCCTACGCCCCGCCTTTGAGCCAGCCATTGGCCCCGCCCCAGCGTGACGCAATGGACCGGACCACGCCCACTAACGGCAACGCACTTGACACTTTTTGAGTCTGGGGATTGTTGTGTGTGGTAGCCGCCCTCAAAACCACAAAAACTCACTGTCCCTCAGGTTTCCCGCTGATGTCCAGGACAATGAGGGCATGTTACCAGCCGCGCAGGGCATCCTCCCGCCGCCTGGAGAGTCCCTTCTCTTGGGGCTTCCTGGGGATCCTTTTGCTGGCCCTAGAGCTCCTGCTACCCACATGCTCAGGTAGGGAAGGGAAAGGGTGTCAGCTCTGGAGGGAAACTAGAGCGGGTAGGGGAGCTGGTCTACAGGAGCGGAGGGCAAAGGGAACTTTGCTTGGTGTGTGGGGGAGGAGGCTCAGGGCTTGTGGACCAGGTGATACGAGTTCAGGGTAGAAGCCTTAGTCACACATCCTCCGGGTTGTTCTGTGGGGGATCCAGGAGGGTGGGGACACCATAGGGCCCTCGGTGAGGGTGGTTAAGGTGGTAGGTACAGAGCCTTGCCAAGCGCTTGGTGCAGCCAGTGTTTGTCTGGAGCCAGGCTGTGCCCCTAGCAAAAGCTTGCAGGTGTTTGAGGACTAAGCTAATCAAGATGCTCAGAGATTAACAACGAACATATATGCATATATGTATAACCCACGGACACGGGAATGCCTAGAGTGGGGCGGGGGCAGGATGGATGAGGGCAGAAGGGCGGCAGAATGAGGAACAACTAACAATACTGTCAACAATTTACAAAACGAGATGGGAAGCCCTGAGCAGGTGTGAAGGTGCGGCCTGCTCCTCAGTGCCCAGTGTGTGGGGATGTTGCTTGGGCCAGTGCTGGGCCCGTGAGGAGGCTTTGCCCTGTGCCCCCTGGGCTTAGTGAAGCCTTGGTGAGTGGGGTGCTGCACCCACTGGGTTGGGCTGGGGGAGCCCAGGCCGGGTGTTACCAGGCATATGCTTTACAGAAGGGTCCAGGCCAGGGGTGCAGGGTGTGGGGCAAGGAAGCTCACTGCTTGCTTTGTATGGGGTTTGGGGAGCGTGTGTTACCCAGAGAGCCCTTAAGTGAGAGCGAGCTCCAGGGCCTGGGGTTTAGAAGGATTGGGAAGGACACGCAGTGCTTTTGTACAAAAAGGTAACAGTCTGCTTGTTGCCCCCAAATCATATAGGTATTGGTTAGCAGGCTGTTGCTTTTTTATTTTTAAACCATGGCATCATGTTCTAATTTCCATGCAATATAGACAATATCCTATGCTATTCCCAATGTCCCTAGGGCAATGTGTTTTCTTTTGTTCATTAGTTTGGGGCCTGTTTGAGGGGAAGTTAGAAGCAACCAAGAAAATACTGGTAGCAAAACCTAGTGAGAAATGAATCATAATAAATAAACAACAAATAACATCAATTAGGCTTTTCCCCTGTAACTGGAGATTATCCACTGAGTTTGGTTCGTGTTTCACTGAAAATATATTCTATAAAACATATACAATAAAAGGACAACCATTTTATATTTTGATGCATTTCAAACTGTCTTTATATGCCTGTGTTTCTATGCCCAAGTGATTTTTAGGATCCTATTACATATACAGTTTGTATGCTGCATTCTCTCCTTAGGAGAATTCATTCAATAAAGATTTGCCGTGTATGTGCCAGGCCCTGTGCTGGTTCTGGGGACACACTGGTGACCAATAACAAACCATTCCTATTTTCATGATCCTTATTTGACACTTTGTCTGTTTGCACACGCACACACATGAACATAAACAGCGACTGTGTTTTGCTCACTGTTAGATCCCCAGTGCCAGGCGCACAGTCGGCAATCAATAAAGATTTGCTGAAATGTACTAAGACTGGCGGACAGTAACCAGACCACAATGCTAGTGTTATAACCCCAGTCAGGTGCCCTGGAGGAAGGAGCAGGCTTCTCTGAGAGCATTTAACAAATGACTGTTGGGAGGGAAGGCTTTTCTGCTCAGAGGCCACACTCTGCCACTTTGGGGCTTCTGCACTTGTGTCGGCCTGCGGACTAAATGGTCCTGGGTTCGATTCTGACCAAAAGAGCCATGCCCAGGTTTTGGGCTCAATCCCCAGCAAGGTGTGTGCAGGAGGCAGCCAATCAATGATTCTCTCTCATCATTGATGTTTCTATCGCTCTCACTCCTTTCCTCTCTGAAATCAATAAAAATATATTTTTTAAAAAGATATATGGAACACTATGTTCATTGCAGCATCACTTGCAATAGTTAAGACATGGAAGCAATCTAAGTGTCCTTCAACAAATGACTGGATACAGAGGGAGAGGTACATATATACAATGGAATACGCCTCATCCATAAAAAAAGATTAAATACTGCCGATTGCAACAGCATGGATGGATCTTGCGAGGATTATGCTAAGGAAGTAAGTCAACCATAAAGGACATGTTAACTAGTAAGTTCCAGAAAAATGAACTATAATATTCAGTAGAAGTTAACAGCTTTTTTTTTAAGCAACAAATGAAAAAAGCAAAGAAACAAACAAAACTCACAAACGGTAACATGGTGGTGGGGAAGAGGTTAAAGGAGGTGAAGGAAGAAGACTAAACTTCACAATAGAGTATATAGACGTCCTATTACAACATCGTGCACCTGAAACTTACATAATGTTATTAACCAGTGTTAACCCAACACATTTAATTTAAAAACAGTCACATATTTTTTGTTCTTTGGTAGAAGTGTGTGTGTGTGTGTGTGTGTGTGTGTGTGTGTGTGTATAAAGTTTAACATCAACCTGACATAAGGCCAATCCAGGGAATAAGAAAAGAGAGGTTTCTCAGGGATCAGCATAGATCTAGCTCCTTTCTTAATCCTTAATCTTATAGGAGGGACCTCTGCATGCTTTTAGCCCTTCAGGATTTTACTGATGTGTCTCCATCACATTATTTTATATACTAATTCTACCAGATTTGTTAGGTTTTCAAGCCCACAGACAATTAAAAGGAAGAAGAGTGGCCAACGTAGAAATGATACTATTCTAGGAAGAAGAAAACTACCCAAAAAATCCAGAAATAAAAAATTCTAACAGCATAGCAATATAGAACACAGCTTAAACAGAAACCTCAGAACTTTTGTGGCCATACATGATCCATTGATTAGTGAAGGAAGACTATATTATATTTAAAATAATGTTAAATTATAATTTTTGACATTTAATTGACCTTTAATCAACTCACTAATGTGAAACATATGACATGAAAGTCTTATATTTTATTTTTATTTTTTTAAATATATTTTATTGATTTTTTACAGAGAGGAAGGGAGAGAGATAGAGAGCCAGAAACATCGATCAGCTGCATCCTGCACATCTCCTACTGGGGATGTGCCCGCAACCCAGGCACATGCCCCTGACCGGAATCGAACCTGGGACCTTTCAGTCCGCAGGCTGACACTCTATCCACTGAGCCAAACCAGTTTCGGCATGAAAGTCTTATATTTTAAAATAGTTTAGTCCACATTTATTTTTGACCTATGAAATCCACGATGCTTATTTAAGAGTCAGCACTTACCATAGCATTTCTTGAGCATGCAGGGGGCACAGAGTGTAGTAGGAAACGAAGGCATATGATCCCTGAACTCTAGAGAGGAGACTGAGCCTGAAGTAACAAGCCATCATAAGTTTGTGTTTCAAACTGTGGAAGAATAATTTGATCAAGGGCTGTAAAGCCTTCTTAGGGAAGAGGTGAATGTGAAATGAACTCAGCAAAAAAAATGGGAAAGATGGCCGAAACTGGTTTGGCTCAGTGGATAGAGCGTCGGCCTGCGGACTGAAAGGTCCCAGGTTCGATTCCGGTCAAGGGCATGTACCTGGGTTGCGGGCATATCCCTAGTAGGAGATGTGCAGGAGGCAGCTGATTGATGTTTCTCTTTTATTGAAGTTTCTAACTCTCTATCTCTCCCTTCCACTCTGTAAAAAATCAATAAAATTTATTTTTTAAAAAATGGGAAAGATCTATAAATATATATTTAACCAAAAATATTGCAGCTGTCTTTTCAATTTACTGTTGAAAGAATATTCAGCTTATGCCCGAAAAATCCAAAAGCTAATAGCATGTTCTTTAAAGCAAGCACAACACCTCATCTGGTAAAAGCCTGGCACAATCACTTAAAATCTTGCCAAGGACCTTCCATTTATTCTGGAAGGCCGTAATCTGTGACTGGTGAAAAAGAGGAAATACTTTACTTTCATGTTCTTCTTTTGTTATGTCCAGATGCCTGTGATGACCTACTAACATTCCAATCTATGAAACCCAAGGGTTATCCTGAACCCCCTTATCATCCAGGGGACACAGTGGAATATGAATGTCGCCCAGGATACAAGCATCGTTTTCCTGTCCTTTCCATCTCTGCTGTTTGTCAGCCTGACAACACATGGGCACCTCTCCAGGAGGCCTGTACAAGTAAGTACACAACATTTTTATTTTTATTGCTCTAAAGATTTTCACACATTGTAGACTCCGTATTCCACTATTACCATGATGGCTTTCTCATGTAGATGTAGATTTTAGGTAGCACTGTATTTTTGCAGGCCTTGAAAGTCTCCTGGAAATTTTTTATTTGGCTGTTAACGCTCTGGGTAAATGTGAATCTTAAGTTTGGCCATTAGTGGCAACATGGATGGACCTCGAGAATATTATGCTAAGCGAAATAAGTCAGTCAGAAAAAGCTAAAAGAACCGTATGATTTTACTCATATGTGAGATATAAAACTGAAACTCATAGACACAGACCACAGTTTGGTGGTAACCAGAGGGGAGAAAGGGGGTTTGTGGAAGTAGTACGGGGTAAGGGGGACTAAATTTATGTGACAGAAGATGGTTTGACATTGGGTGGTGGGCACACAAAGCAATATATAGATCATGCATCATAGAAATGTACACTTGAAGCCTATGTATGCTTATTAACCGATGTCACCCCAATAAATGTAATAACAATAAATAAGAAGAAAAATATTTCTATCAATTTAATAGTGCAGTGTAGAATTTGTATTTTGATTCAAATCAGTTTTGAAATTGGTATAAACAAATGTGAAAATTTTCCTTTTAGAAAAGTCATGTCCACAGCTAGAAGAACTACTAAATGGACAAATAAAGTACAAAAATGGAAATCTGGAGTTTGGTACAGAAGCTCAGTATGGTTGTAATGAGGGGTAAGTAAGCTGCTCCTTGGAGAAAGAAGGTGAAGGTTGCTGGTTCCATTTTTGGTTTGGTTCTCTTCTCAAGTGTTTCCATTATGTTGATCTCATCTTGCTTTCTGTGGAACAAGTTATACTTACAGCCAATTAACCCTTGGGCTTTTTATAGAGACTGAAAAGCTGTGCAATAAATAGAAATAAATTTAATTTAAAGAAAGACAAAATTGTATATACTATCCTATATAAGAAAACCCTCATATGCAAATCGACCAAACAGTGGAACGACCGGTCGCTATGATGTGCACTGACCACCAGGGGACAGATGCTCAATGCAGGAGCTGCCCCCTGGTAGTCAGTGTGCTCCCACAGGGGGAGCACCAGTCAGCCAGAAGCTGGGCTCATGGCTGGTGAGTGCAGCAGCAGTGGCAGGAGCCTCTCCTGTCTCCACTGCAGGCAGGCGGTAAGGAGCAAGGGGTTCCAGACTGTGAGAGGGCACAGGCCGGGCTGAGGGACACCCCCCAGTGCACAAAATTTCATGCACCGGGCCTCTAGTAAATAATGATAAGTCTATTTTAGTCATTAAAAATGTAGTAACTGTGATGACATGGTCCTACATTAAACTATAATAGATCAAAGGGTGAGAAGAGAGATGGGGAATTAACCAGTTAACAGAAGGAAGGGCAGGAATTAATGAAATATGTGTTGAAACTGAATGAACTTCCAGAGGTACTTCAGAATAATGTGAATATAAGAGCTAGTATAGCTCCTATTCATTAAGGGGTAGCTGACCACCAGATTTCACCGCATCCTGCTTCCACATGAATGTTCACGCTGTTGCCAACAAATAATCCAAAAGCAGCAAACACTTCTTCCTACAGACTATACACCTATCCCAGAACTAGCCCCACTTACCCTTCTTCTGCCCCCTTATCTATAGACAATGTGAATTCCTTCAAAATAACTTACATCTTTCTACTCAAAGCTGTAAAAGAACCCCCTTAAACCAGGATGGCGGAAATGCTTGCCTTCATCTCCCTGCTGCTGGTGGTTTAAACTGCATGCCCCAGACCTGGTTTTGCTGGTGACCATATGGCTAGTCAATAAACCTGTCCCTTCAGAAAATCTGGCTGTGAAGGGTTTTGTTTCACAACTTTATCCACTTTGTGGTTAGAGAAAATACATTACATGATATATATATTTTTTAAACCTATTGATTAGTTAATATTAATTTGTGGCTCCAAGTATGGAAGATGTCCCATGTGCATTTGAGGGGAATTTGAATTCTGTTCTGTGGTGCTCTATGTCTGTGAGATCTAGTTGTTGACGTCCTCTATTTTCAGTCTTACTTATTTCAGTCTGTTGTGCAATCTATCATTGTGAGTGGGATATTGAAGTCTCCAACTATTACTGGAGAAATGCCTGTTTCATTGAGATGTGTATTTCTCTCTACAGTTGTGCCAGCTTTTGCTTCATGTATTTTGAAGGTCTTTATTTTGTGCATAAATGTTTATAATTATTATATCTTCTTGCAGTATGTGAAACTGATTAAAATATAATGTGCTGCTTGTGTCTTACAACCTTTTCTGATTCTAAGTCTATTTTGCCTGAATTAATATAGTGATGCTACCCTCTTTTGGTGACAATTTGCATGGAAGATTTTTTCCACCCTTTCACTTTGCACTTGTTCATCTCTTTGACTCTCAAGTGAGTCTCCTGTAGACAGCATATAGTTGGATCTTGTGTTTTTATCCATTCTGCCCATGTCTGCCTTTAGATTGTGGAATTTAATCCATTTAAATTTAAAGTAATTATTGCCCGGCCAGAATTGTGTAGTGATTAAGTATCAAACTGTGAACCAGGAAGACACATTTTTATTCCCTGTCAGGGCAGATGCCTATGTTTCAGGCTTGATCACCAGTGAGGGACATGCAGGATGCAGCTGATCAATGTTTCTCTCTCACATTGATGTTTCTTTCTCTCCCTCTCTCTAAAATAAAATAACACATATTTTTAAAAATTCAAAATAAATTTAAAATAATTATGGACAAGGAGGAAGCTATTTCTTTTTGAAAACTTTTTTTTGTCCCTCTTTTCATGCAATCCTCTTTTCATTTGCAAGTTAACTCTTATAATGAAATGTTGTAATCCCCTACTCATTTTCTGTTGTGTATATTCTATAGTGATTTTGTTTCCAGTTCCCAGGAGGATTACATTGAACATCCTATATATAACATTATAATTTGAATTTATAGCAACTTAAATTCAATAAATTACAATCATGGATCCTTATCAGCTCCATCCCCATCCTTTTCGGTTGTTAATGTCATACTACCATCCAAATAATAATTGAAATACTGGCTTCTTTATCATTTCTTTTCATTGTAAGTTTAGTTTCTTAAATCACATAGAACATAAAAATACATTTACAAACCATTGTTATAATAATACTAGATTTAATAATTGCCCACGAATATACCCACACTGAGATGTTGATCCATAAGGCATGGCTTACTGTAACCAAAAAAACATAGGTTCAGCTGCCTGCTGCAAGGAAACCCAAACTTGTGAGGCAGGTGCTGGTGCAAAAGGAAAGAGGTTTTACTCAGGTGCCCCAAGATCTAGAATTCCCAGCTCAAAGACCTCCCCCGCTTCCTGTCCAAGCACCCAGATTTTATATGGATAGGGAGGGGAAGGATATTTTCCTATGAAATTATCTTGCTAGCTTTTGGCAACTTGGGTCCTGTCCATTCATCTTCAGAGCTTTTGGTGCCCTAAGTGTAAGAATCAACCCCAGTAACATCTTGACTCCCCAGGTAACATTATTCTCAAGTGTCCTTTAAGTTCACCTTTTAGGGCACTCTTAAGCATTCTTTGCATATTAGGTATAGTGGTAGGAAATTTTCTTACCTTTTATTTTTGGCAAGTCTTAATAGTTCCCTCACGATAGAAGCACAGTTTTACTATAGAAAGGATTTTTGATTGAACTTTTTTTTTTTTCTATCACTATGAGTCTATTAGTTCAATGTCTTCTGGCTCCAGGCTCCTGATGAGATATCTGCTATTTAGTTGGGTCACTGACCGCTTTTCCCTTAGATTGTCAAATAAAAAAAATGGCAAGCCTGGCCAGCATGGCTCAGTGGTTGAGCAACAACCTATGAACCTGGAGATCACGGTTCAATTCCCGGTCAGGACACATGCCTGGGTTGCTGGCTCAATCCCCAGTGTGGGGCGTGCAGGCGAAAGCCAATCAATGATTCTCTCTCATCAATGGTGTTTCTATCTCTCTCTCCCACTCCCTTCCTCTCTGAAATTAATAAAATATATATATATATTTTTAATGGCAAGAGCCAACACAACAATAGCTGTCCGGTGTGAATGAATCAAAATTATACCTTTTTCTTGTCAGATGGGCAAAAATATGTTTTTTAGAGTACCACAGAATTTTAGTAATTAGTTTATGTGTGCCGTGAGATGAAAAAGGTTGAAAATGGCTGACATAGATATTCTCAAAGAAGTTTTAGCTTCGTTGAGAAGCACAATATAAACAGAGGTGTCCAAGGAAAATAGCAAACAGTAAGTACTGCAGAAATAGACTTGTTCATGATCCTTATAAGGAGAGTCCAGAAGGAGGAGAGAGTTCTGTGAATTACGATCATCAGAGATTCCATCATGGAGGGGTCTCCCTGAGCTCTACCTAGAAAGCTACTCTAAACTGAAGAGTATTCATAACACCAAAAACTTGCCTCGCACTCCTGTTCGTGAGGCTAATTCACCTGCTACTCAAAACCACCCCATGTCTTATACACCTTTCCACAGATGGGGAATTTAAGAAAGAGAACCAGCCCCAACCAGTTTGACTCAAAGTTTAGGGCGCTAGACTGTGGACTGAAGGGTCCCAGGTTTTATTCTGAGCAAGGGCACATACATTGATGTGTCTCTTTCACATCCATATTTCTCTCTCTCTCTTTCTCTCTTTCTCTCCCTCTCTCTCCCTCTCTCTCTCTCTCTATTCCCCGCCTTCAACTGTCCCTAAAAATTAATTGAAAAGATATCATCAGGTGCAGGTTAACAAAAACTTAAAAAATAAAGAGAAACATTAAGCAACTTGTCCAAACTCAACAAACAGGTCAGTCTTGGAGCTGGGACTCGAATGCAGTCAGGTCAGCGCTTGGGCCAGATCTGGCTGCTGAGTCGTTGCCCTGACAGAGCAGAATGGCATGAGCAAGGACACAGATGTGACAGTGTGCTGTGCCTGCCAGAGGTAGCAATCACCAGACTGTCAGGCAAGACTGGTTTATTTAGACACTTTGCTCTAGGCCAACATGTGTTCATATGAAGAATCTCTGCATTTAATTACACTGCAGATTCAGTTAACACATTCTATACCTGTCACATTAGAAACTTCTCCCTGAAGCTACTGTAGTGCCGGAAAACAACCGTATAAAAACTTCTTCACTATTATGTGTTCCTGTTAAGTGATAAAGAAAACAATAATCATTTCTTTTCTCACTTAGTTATTATTTACATGGAACAAAAATTCTACATTGTGAACTCTCTGGAAATGATGTGGAATGGAGTGATGCTCCACCGCATTGTGAAGGTAAGTACATTCTCTCTTTAGAATTTAGAGCAGCAGTTCTCAAACTTTTTGGCCTGGGGACCCCCGTATGCTTTACAATTAACCAAGACCCCACAGCGCTTTTCTGCAGGTGGGTTAGTGCTATTGATATTCCTTATATTGGGATTAAAACAGAGATTTTAAATAATTATTTATTAATTCATTTTTAAGAACAGTACGTTCAATGCATGTTAACAAATGCAACATATTTTTGTCCTAAGATCAAACATTCCCAAAACAAAGGGAAGAGTGTCATTGCTTTACGTTTTTCTAATCTCTTCAGTATCTGGCTTAAAGGAAGAGCTCCACATTCATCCTGCGGCTCATCAGACAGTCTCAGGCCATTGGAAAATGTCACTGCCCACGCTAAGCATGACAGTGAGAAAAGACAAAATCGTGGCATACCTGAGAACCATTGATTCAGGAATGGATGTAGCATTTCTCAACTAGCACTGAGTCTTCCTAAATCATATTTTCTCATTAAATTGTCAGCATCTCTTATGACTAGAAAAAACTTAACATGGCCTTACAGATACACACAAGTCTTTCATACAGGTATCTCTATGGGTATTTAAGAAAATGGGTTTTATTCTAAAATTTTATTTCTCTATTAATGGTTTGAATTGGGATAATACATTTCTTTCTATACATTTTTTTAAATGTTTATTGAATTTGCTACTAGATGTAGAAATCATATGATAATGAACTATTGAAGGCAGTTCATAGGACACTACTAATGCCGTCTTAATCTTCTACTTTTTCTTTTGCCTTTCCTGTCCTTTTTTTTCTCTCTCTCTTTTTAAGAGGTTTGGTGTAAACCACCTAAACAAATACCAAATGGGAAATTCACCAACAGCCACAAGGATATATTTGAATATAAAGAAGAAGTTATTTACAGTTGCAATCCTTCAAAGGGACCAGACGAATATTCACTTTTTGGAGAGAGCAGGCTTGTTTGTTCTGGGCTTAACCAATGGAGCCCTGATCCTCCTGAGTGTAAAGGTGATAACATTTCCATTTCTTTCCCTCCCATTTGCAAACGGTGTGGAAACTTTTACCAACTTTTAAATACTTTGGCCAACAAGTAAAAACACAAACAAACAACAACAAAAACAGCCGTATATGCTTGTTCCTCCTGTTATATTTGTTTCTAATATAATTTTATGAGTGAACTAGAATAAAAATAATTCTACTTGCAGGGTTTCCCACTGTTCACCACATATGTCCCTGACATTCCTGTTTATACATTGTTAATTACTATGTATATGCATTGGTTAAATTTTTTTTGTCTAGAAAGCATCAAAAAACATACACTGGCTTTAAGAAAGTTTTATCTCATAATACAAGAAGTTTGACAGTTCTGCCTAGCCAAAATGGTAGAATAAATTGTAAGAGATTAACCCTCTCACCAATCAGATTGATAAAGTCTAGGCAAAGCATGCAGGCTTACATTGTTTAATTGTGCTTTGCTTTATTGCCCTTCACACATGTTGAGTTGTATTTTGAGAATTGAATACCATAACCTAGCAAAACAACTGTAACCTTCTTTACTTCAATACTCATTTATTGTTGTAGCCTGAAAAAAAACCTGAAATTACTCAGAGGTTTACCTATACTTAAAAAACAATGCCTAAGGCATTCGAGCATGACCAAAAGTAGAACATACTGGAAAATATTTGACTCTTGAACAAAAGGAACCACTGAAAAACAGGAAAATATGTTCTCTTTTCAAGTGCATACGTAATAATTTTAGTACCATAGTCTAGGCAATATGTTTAAGTTTTTTAATTTCAAAAATTGAAATTACTTACAGTACAGTATCTTTACAATGGAATGAATGCAGAAATCAAAACAAAGATATCTATAAAATCCCAAAATATTTAAAAATTATGAAGACACCTCTAACTAACCCATGAATAAAAGAAGGATTCACAAGGGAAATTAGAACATGTTTTGAATTGAATGAACATGAATACACAATATATTGAAGTATCAAAATTTGCAGAATAGAGCAAAAACATTGCTTAGAAGAATATTCATAGCATGAAATACATACATTAGAACAAGAGAAAAATTTCAGCTCAAGAATATAAGCTTTCACTTTAAGGAACTAAAAAGGAAAAGCAAGTTGAATACAGAACAAGAAAGCAGAAAGAAATAATAAAGATAGAAATCAGTAAAGTTGAAAAAAACATGTCTAGAGACTCATTTGAAACCAACACCTGGTTCTTGGGGAAGATCAATAATATGGATAAACCTATAGCCGGTGTGACAGAAAAAGTAGAAGACACAAATTACCAATATCCAGAATGAAAAAGAGAACATCATTAAATATTCTGCAGACAACCCGGTCAGCATGGCTCAGTGGTTGAGCATCCATCTATGAACCAGGAGGTTGCAGTTCAAGGACACATACCCAGGTTGCAGATTCGATCTCCAATGTGGGGCGTGCAGGAGATAACCTATCAATGATTCTCTCTCATCATTGACGTTTCTATATATCTCTCCCTGTCCCTTCCTCTCTGAAATATATATATATATATATGTCTATTTTTCGTTTGTCACCTCTCACATGTATCCCCTCTACGTCCCAACTGCATTTTCCAGCTCATATGTTTCTAGCTGCCTACTCTAACAACACTATTAAAACATTAGCAAGTAAAACCCTGTCATATTATGAAAATAAGAATACTATATCATAATCAAGTAGGATGTGTTCCATGAAGGCAAGGTTTTTTCAGATTTAAAAATTAATCAGTGTAATTTACCATTCGAATAGACTATAAAACAACAACAAAACATGATCATCTTAATAAATGCAAAAAAAAATGCATTTGACAGAAAACTTCTTAGCAAACTAGGAATAGACGGGACCTAATTCTCTCAACCTGACAGAAGGTAGCTATAAGTATTGCACAGCTAACATGACACTTAATGATAAAATATTTATTTTCCAATGACCTAGGGATGAGACAGGGATATCTACTCATCCTGCCCTATTAATCATCATATTGAAGGTCCTATTCAGTACAATAAGGCAAAATATAGAAATAGGCATACATATTGGAAAGGAAGAAATAAAATAGACTTTGTTCAATATGACATGATTGTGTGGAAAATATGAAAGACTTTAATCTTATCTAGGTTGCTAGACACAAATTCAATGTACAGAAATCAGTGGTATGTCTATACACTGGCCATAAACAATTAAAAATTTAAATTTTCAAAGTACCATTTACAACACCGAGTCATGCAAAGTATTTGCAAATGAATCTAACAACACATGTGCAATATTTGAATAGTTAAAACAAGGAAACTTTTTAAAAATTAAAGAAGGCATTTATAAATACAGAAAAATTCATTGCTAATGCATTTCAAGACTCAATATAACAAAAATGTCAATCCTCTATAACTGATGTATAAATGAGTATAATCCCAATAAATTTTCCTGCCGGGAGCCAGTCCATCCTTGCTGTTTCAAGGGACCTGGCATTTATGGCATACTGTTCTTAATATGTTTGCTCACCTTCTTGGCACTATGTGTTTTAACCAAGGTCACCTCTCTGAGAAAGGTTGTTTCCCCAGGTAGGGATTTTCCCCTGAAGTTAGGGAGGGAATAAAACCCCTTAACTAAGTGCCAGGCGGATAATTAATCACTTTAACTACGAACAATCATGCTTAAGCTACATAATCTTTACTCCCTGGAATGGAGATAAGAAACACCCTAACCTTTGGAATAGAGATTGATAGGATTGGAATCAACTGGTATAAATACAGATGTAACAAGACAACAGGACACAGAACCTAGACACAGAACCTACACAGAACCTAGACACAGAACCTACACAGAACCTAGAGACAGAAGAACTTCGCTGGAGAGAACATGGCAAAAGATCCTGGACAGAAACTGGCCACAGAACCTAGAGACAGAACCTAGCGAGAGAACCTGGCTGAAGAACCTAGAGACAGAACCTGGCTACAGAACCTGGATAGAACATGGCAAGAGAACCTGACTAAAACCTGGTGACTGAACCTGGCTGGAGAACCTAGCAAGGGAACATGGCTAGAGAACCTGGCTGGAGAACCTGGAGAACCTAGCAAGAGAACATGGACACAGAACCTGGCTGGAGATCCTAACCAGAACTTCGCTGGAGATCCTGACCAGAACTTGGCTAGAGATCCTGGCTAGGCTGCTGATCAACTGAACACTGTCTCCGTGTCATTCCTTCTTTGCCGACTCCGTCCACACCTTTGGGGATCCCTGGACCTGCTGGGGCTGGACCCCAGCATTTTCCCCCAGAAGTTTTTTAAGAAATTGACAAAGTGTTTCTAAAATTTATTTGGAAAGACAAAAGAATAAGAATAGTCAAAATGATTTTGGGAAACAATTAGAGGACTCTGGTGTCAAGACTTATTAGAAAGCATACTATTTAATGAATAGTCAAGACTGTGTGGTATGGGTAAAAGGATGGCCATAGAAAACAATGGAACAGAATAGAGGGTCTAGGGAAGAGCCTTTCAATCGTCTCCAATTGATTTTAGCACACATGTACAAACAATTCAGTGGAAAATGGTAAAAGTACAGGCACAATTGAACATCAATATGCCATAAAAGGGAACCACAACCCATATTAGCATATGCAAACATTTGCTAAAAATAGATCTTAGACTTGCCTTACATTCAGGATTATAACAACACTTTTACTTGAAAACATAGAACATATTCATGAATCGGTCAAAGATTCCTTGTATACAAAACCATGATCCTTTAAAGAAAAAAAAAGGTTAACCAATTGGAATTCTTAAAAACTCAAAGCTGCTGCTCTCAAAAGACATTGCTATAAGAGTCTTAAAAAATGAGCCAAATCCCTGGCCGGTATGGCTCTATTGGTTGTAGCTTTGTCTTGTGTACCAAAGGGTTGCAGGTTCTATTCTAGGCCAGGGCACGTACCTGGGCTGTGGGTTTGTGGCAAGTGCAGAAGACAATTGATTCTCTCTCTCTCTCTCTCTCTCTCTCTCTCTCTCTCTCTCTCTCTCTCTCTGAGCATGTCCTTAGGTGAGGATTGAAAAAAAAAGAAAGAACAAAACCACAATGAGCTATCGCTCAACTCCTATAGGATGGCTGAAAATAAAAACAAGAAAAAAATACCTTAGAATATCATCTACTGGCAATGATATGGAGCAATTGAAACCCTCATATATAGCTGCTAAGAATGCAAAGTGGTATGTCCATTTTGGAACACTGTTTGGCAGTTTCTTATAAAGTCAAACATATACTTCCATACAACTCAGCAATCCAAGTAAATTACAACACGTTCACATAGGAACCTATGTGGAAATATTCATAGCAGCCTTAGTTACAGTCACCCCACATTGGAAATAGTCACATATTTTTCAGTTGATGAATGAGTGAACAACCATGGGGCATCTATATAATGGGATAATACTCTGCAATAAAGAGGAATAAGCTTCTAATCCACACCATGACCCAAATGAATCTCAAACGCATTATGCTAAGTGAAATGAGCCATACTCAGAGGCTGTGATCCCATTATGACTCTCTGGAAAAGAAACGCTGGTGGTACAAAACAGATGAATGGTTGGCTGGTTGGGGAAGGTGGTTGGAGGTGGCTGTGGGGAGAGTTGATTACAGGAAATGTTGGAGAATAATGAAACTCTTCTATGTCTATAGTGGTGGTGATTACATGATTAGTGTTTACATTTATTAAACCTCATAAAGCTGTACACTTAAAATGCTGAGTTTTACTGTTACTATGTAAACTATATCCAGTAAACCTAACTTAAAATTATTACTGTGATTTAGAGCATTTTAGTACAACATAGAAAAGATCAGTGAACCGGAAGTCAAAACAATAGAAATCCAACATGATTTGAAAGAAAAACAATTTTTTTAAGAGGGAAAGACTTACAACCTGGGAAAGAGTAGCACGCAGACAAATATACATGTTAATGGAGTTTCAGAAAAAGAGGAGAAACAACAATATAGAGTTATATGAATAAATAATGTCCAAAAACTATCCACATTTGATCCAAAACAACCACCCACAAGTCTAGGAAATTCAGTGACCCTAGGAGGATAAATAAATTTTTAAAAATATCTGATAATGTGCTGAAATAAAAAACAGGCAACAAACGTCTCTACTAAGGAGAAATTTATTAAAACTGAAGGTAAAATTAAAAATATATATATATTTGAAGACCTGACCAGTGTGATTCAGTTGGTTTGAGCATTGTCCCATTCACCAAACAGTGGCGGGTTTGATTTCTGGTCAGGGCACGTACCCAGGTTGTGGGTTTGGTCACCTGTTGAGGTGCATATGCAGGCATCCGATCCATGTTGCTCTGTTACATCAATGTATCTTTCTCTCCCGTCTTCTCTGTCTAAATTTTAAAACAAAACAAACAAACAAAAACATGTCCTCAGGTGAGGATTTAAAAAAAAAAAGATTTTTTAGATAAAAGCTAAGAGGATTGTCACCTCCCTACCTGCACTACAAGAATTGCTAAAGGAAGTTCTTCAGGCTGAAGGGACAAGATCCTGATGGACGTTCAGGTCCCCTTGCGAGGAGGAAGAGCACCCTTCTGGTTGAAAAGCAGTGGATTATTGGCCCTATGCATCACTCAGATTTAATCTCAGAAGGTGTTTTCTTGCATGTACTGCCAGCCCAGTCTTTTGTTTTGTTTTTGATTTTTCCAATTTCTGTGAAACGCATGGCTGGATCCTGAAATCAATCTAGAGGATCATACCCAGCACTTTACTTTGTAAGAAGTAGAACAGAATGGGGAATACCTGAGTACATGGGTATCAAGACTAACTATGAAGTTTTACTGGTTTGGCTCAGTGGATAGAGCATCGGCCTGCGGACTGAGGGGTTCCAGGTTCGATTCTGGTTAAGGGCATGTAACTTGGTTGCGGGCACATCCCCAGTGGGAGGTGTGCAGGAGGCAGCTGATCAATGTTTCTAACTCTCTATCCCTCTCCCTTCCTCTCTGTAAAAAAATCAATAAAATATATATATAAAAAGTGGGGTTTGATCTCTGAGTTCCAGTCCAAAATACTTGGAAAACACAGCCCTAAGTTCACTGGCCTTTCTATTTCTTGCAGGTTTCCAGTTCTTGCATGTTGTTGATACCTGATAACTTTCTGCATGTTTGCATGGCTAGCTTTTTTTCAACTTTTTACCTTTGAGCTCAAGCATTACCTTATTACAAGACCTTTTCCTGCCTTTTTAGAAGATCAGGGTACTAAATTAGTGTCAGCCTGAAATTTTAAAAATTCCTAGAGCTAAAAGAACATCCAAAGTTGCTTTTGTACTTACCTCAAAATTGTATGTGGTAATCAGACCTTTCTCAAAACGTGTCAGTAATGGGAAAACTTATAGGAAACCAATAATGTATATTGGTCAGTCTGTTCTTGGTGGGAAAAGGTTATTAGATGTCTCTATGTCTGTTTACCTGGAATTAAAAAGCACAAATAAAGTATTGTTTTAAATTAACATTCTGTCTTCCATTTCTTGCCTCTTTGTACCCAGGGGAAATTACTAATTTGCACTAGTTTTTTCTTTCCCCTGTTGAAACAGCTTTCCATTAATTCTGGAATTTCTTCACTTTTCAGTGGTCATATGTGAATATCCAGCGCTGGAGAATGGGAGACTGGTGTCAACACTTGAAAAGGGAAAATTTCAGTACAAATCAGAGGTTACGTTCCAATGCGAGGAGGGATTTTACCTTGAAGGCAGCCGCACTATTGTCTGTGGAGCCAACGGTACTTGGGAGCCTAAGATCCCAAAATGTACTGAAGGTACAAAGAGGGTCTTTTTGTGTCTTTTTTGTTTAGATTTTATTTTATTTATATTTTATTTTATTTTTTGTTTAGATTTTATTTCTTTGACATTAAATATTAATGATGTGGACAAATTGAAAAGAAACCGTTTTTAAAGTAACTGCATATCATATTCATTTCCATGACAGAGGTATGACACAATTTGTTTTCATTGGGTCTTTACACATATATCACACAGGTGTCTAAATTTCTGTTTTCTGGCACTTCTTATGTGTAAAAATGTATAGCAATCATTTTCAGATAAACTGAACCACCATTTCACGTTCCCGCCAGTGAGGCACGAAGGTTCCAATTTATCCACCTCTTTACCAATACTTGGGTTTGTTGTGTTTTTTTATATATACTAGTCATCATAATGTATATGAAGTAGTATATCACTGTGGTTTTTATTTTCATTTCCAAATAATTAGTGATCATATTTTCATGTACTTATTGGTGTTTTGTATATCTTCTTTGGACACATGTCTCTTCAAGTCTTTTGCACATTTTTTGATTTGGGTTTTTTCTATCACTAAGTTTCAGGAGTTCATTATGTGTTTTGGATTTTAATCCCTTTTCAGATATATTATTTGCAGATATTTCTTCTTATTCTATGGATTGCCTTTTCACTCTGTGGATAATGACCATTGATAAAGTTTTTAATTTTGCTGAAGTCCATCCAATTTATCTATTTTTCCTTTGTTGCCTTTGTTTTTGGTGTCACACTCAAAAAATCATAGTCAGATTCAACATCATGAAGCTTGTCCTCTGTGTTTTTTTCTGTACATCTTATAGTTTTAGCTCTTATATGTAGCTCTTTGATCCACTTTGCGTTCATTTTTGTATATGACATAAGATAAGGATCCACCTTCATTCTTTTATTTGTAGATATCCAGCTTTCCAAGAACCACTTGTTGAAGAGATTGCCCTTCCCCCATTAAATGTTCTTAGCACCCTTCCATACAATCATTTGACTATATATGCACAGGTTTATTTGTGGTCTCTGTATTCTACTCAACTGGTCTGCCTGTGTTTATGCCTGTAGCACTGTGATTTTGATTACTGTAGCTTTTGAGTAAGTTTTAAAATCAGAAAATGTAAGTTCTCTCAACTTCACTCTTCCATTTCAAGATTGTCTTGGCTGTCCCTAGTCCCTTAGGCTCTGTATGAATTTTATTTTGGATTTTTCTATTTCTGCAAAAAGCATATTCAAGATAGTGATGGGATTGCATACAGTCTGTAGGTTTCTTTGCATAGCATTAACATCTTAACTATATCATCTCTTCCAATGCATGAGCACAGGATGTCTTTTCATTTATTTATATTGTCTTCTATTTCTTTCAGCAGTGTTTTATAATTTCCAGTGTCGGAGCGTTTCACCTCCTGGTTAAGTTTCTTCTTTAAGTATTTTACTTCTTTTTTATCCTCAACCAAGGATATGTTTATTGATTTTAGAGAGGAAGGGGGAGAGAGAGAGAGAGAGAACATGGATTGGCTCCCTCCTGTATATGCTCTGACTGGGGATCAAACCTAAAAACTAGGTATGAGCTCTTACCAGGAATCCAACCACAACATTTTGGTGTATGGGATGATGCTCCAACCAATTGAACCACTCTTATTTGATACTATTGTAAATAGAATTATTTTCAATTTCTTTCTAGCTTTCTCATTGTTAGTGTAATGAAATGGAACTTATTTTTACTTGTTGATTTTGAAAACTGCAACTTTGCCAAATTTATTTATTAATTCCAACAGGTGAGTGTGTGTGCATGTGTATGTGCATAATCTTTACAGTTTTCTACTTAAACTATCATGTCATCTAGGACAGAGGTAATTTGATTCCTTCCTTCCCAATTTGGATGCTTTTTTTTTCATTTCCTAAATGCTCTGACTATAACTTTTTATATTATAAGTAGAATCTCATTTAATCTATAGGCTAATATTGAGTCTAAAGTAATGACAAATTTGCATTCTGTACCACAGAATATTGTCACAGGAAATGTTACTGGAGAGGAAGAAGAATGCTGATGACTGAATATAAATTTATAATATGTATAGTACTACTTTAAATGAAAAACATTAATATAATTTATATAAGGAAAATAAAATTATAAGAGATTTTATATGAAGGCAAAAAAAATCCAAACCTTTGAATTTAGGATCTGTAAGCTTTACTATTTTTTTTTTACTTCTTTTTAAAGTTATTTTGTTGTTGTTCTAGGAGATTCCATGCCCATGATAAATCACCAACTAGAGCTGATGACTGAGGTATTATTTTGGTTATTAAAAACCCTCAATTATGGGACCTTAGAGTTCTCCATGGAAATATCATATTTCAATTATCTGTGGTTCAGGAAGAAACAACCTGTCATGTGATAATTGACATTTGTATTTCGTTTTATGTGCAGATACCATGACAAATGGAAGCAGTAGTATGTGTAGACACAGGCAGATAACACAGTTTTTAAGAGGTTCCTCAAATTCAAATTCCTAGCAGGGTGAGGTAACTTTCTCAATTGCTGTGTTTATATGTAGGTTAAAATATATAAAACCTAACTTGCTTTCCATGTGATAGTGCTATTTTGTAATGGCAATTTGTAAATAAATTTTCTTTCTATTCATACCTTGTGTACACAAGCATTAAAATAAGTTTGGTTAGTTGTGGTTTTTTTTATAACAGGCTGGTGTATCACACTTTATATAGGCTCATATAGTTCACACAATATATGTTGAAGGAAAGGATCAAGTATGGTTGTGGCAGTTACATGAAATATAAGGATTTTTGATAAGTGAGTGAAGAAAAGTATGTATTACTTTTCTTTACATTAGGCTAGTTTAATAAGGTTTGTCTTTTTATAAAATGCACATTAAGTTTCCCCTCTGAACACTGTGGTCAAACTGTCACTGTGCCAGTAAATTCAAAGCACCTTCATTCATTAAACACTTGATAATTTTTTGATGAAATAAAAAGAGCAAAGGTAAACATGCCAATGTATAATATGACCTATAAAATTTAATAAAAATAATGGCAGTTCGGGAGCAGAGGTACTACCAAACATTTCTAAGATTTAAGATTTTGTAGTATTATTTACTAGAGGCCTGTTGCACGAAGAGATTCGTGCAATAGGCCTTCCTTTCTCCTGGCTGCCGGCACCGGTTTTCCTCGGCACCCAGGACCCAGGCCTTTGCTCTGGCTGGAGCTGCCTCCCGTCTTCCGTCTTCACTGCTCCGGCTCGCCTTCAGTCTTCCCTCCGCCTGCGGCTTGGAGCCTACATATGCAAATTAACCGCCATCTTTGTTGGTAGTTAATTTGCATATCACACTGATTAGCCAATGGGAGGCATAGCGAAGGTACAGTCAATTACCCTGTTTGTCTATTATTAGATTAGATTGCTTTCTGGACAGTAAAAAATGCATGTTTAAGTTTCTATGCATAATTTATCATGGTGTTTCATTTGCATTCTTAAAATACTCTTGGTAATTAAAATTGTGTCTAATCTGGGGATGGGGGTGCATGAGGAAGGATGGATAAAATAATGTATTGTCTGTGAAAACTGCAAAATAGGTCGATGTGATCAATTAATAGAACTTCATTAATGACTTATTCCACACTCACATTTGGGGAACAATGTAAATGAAATTTCTAACAAAACCATGGAATAATAGACTGAATACTGAATTAAACCAACTGGAATGGGAAAATACCTTCTTAAAATGATTTTCTCTAATGTAGTAAATTCTAATTTTTATAATAATATTTCCTAATTTTAATAATTATTCCAATTTTTATAATGTGGTGGGGCTACTACAGCACAAAACAATGACAAATGAGGTCCTATTAAAAGTTTCACAAGTTGGACCCTACGCCTGGAATCAGATTAGAAGGGCTCTGTGATCAAAATGAGCTGGATGCACTAGCAGTCACACTAAACTAGACCGATGAACATTTTCTTTGCTGTAGTTTATAGATGATCTGATCAAAATTAAAGTGTGTCAACTATGTGGAGACCCACGTGTGCTCAATTACCTTCAAACTGGTTTTATTTTTTTCTCAGATGGAGGACTCATTGCTGTGATTGTTCTTGCAGTAGGTAAGTGTCCCAAACTTGGATGCCACTTATATCAAAATATTAATGTGTACAAGTGCATTTATAGTTATTTTTTTAGTTTCTACAGTGTTTATAGCTTAAAATTAAGTAACCCAGTCTAGAAATACTATATCCATTATATGATATTCTACCTTTTGTTGGTGATTGTATTTTCTTTTGTATGCTATATGTCCACTTAGTAACAAATCCTAAATATCCCAAATATGCTTTGAGTAATATTCTAAATTAAGCACAGACACTTCTCTGGCTTGCTGCAGACCCTAAGTGATTCCAGGGAACTACATTTAGACAGTGAAGAGTCCAGATAGAATATGAATGTATGTGGGCTTAAATAAAATAATATTTCTGCCCACTGAAATGTAACCAACAGTAATTTCTTCTGCTAGGTTTGAAACTTGGTATTACTTTTTAGAGTTACATGTCATTTGTCTTCTGGTTTCTTATAGATCTTCGTGTTGCAGTGGTTGGCACCTGTGTGTATAAGTGTCTTCACATCAGGAAGAGACAGTAAATTAAACACATTTCTTAAACTTTTCAGTCCTTCTCATCTTGATGTACTTGTGCAGCTCTTGCTTGCTCTCTGTATTGTGGGCTGCCTTGTTAAAAAATGTTCTTGTGTGAGTGTGCTGTCAGAATTGCATTCCTTACTAAAATATTTTCACCTACTTTTAATATTATTGTAACCAGGCTAATCTGTGCAGAGTTGTTTTAGCTTTTATGACCGTCAGAAAGATTCCTGTGGGGGTTTGAGGTTTAAGTTCTGCAGAAAATCATGGCTCATTATAGTGTCTCTGTTATGCCCGATGTTCAGGGTCCCCAAAAACCACCAGGGAGCCAGGTCCGATGCAAGACTCAAAAGAGCCTTTATTC